ATGCTTTGAGTAGATATGAATCTTCGAGGGAAATCATAGAAAACTGTAGTTTAAAAACAGTAAAATTGACCTTGCTAACCAGACGCTCCTCTATAGCTAAACTGGTATAGCACGTCAGGCTATACGATGTTTCAGTGTAGGATACAGGTTTGATTCCTGTTGGAGGGCACATGTTTTCTATGAAAATTTTTCAGACGTTCAGGCCAGTAAATGTTAATACTGTTTACTATAAGCTAAGCATTTACTTAAATATTTGTGTCTAGGCAGAAATTCACTTTTTACAACAATTCAGTTCAAGGCTCACTACAAATACAGAAAGTGAACTATGAAATATTAAAAGAACATAAGGAAAATTTATTCCTTTAAAAATTGATTCCTTTTATTTGCCTGAAGAAGGTCATGAGACCAGAAACTCGTGTAGCAGAAATCTGAAGAATAAAGTATAATCTATGCCCTAAAACAAATCCACATTCCAGTAGGATGGTTTCCTTTGTTTTCTAGAGTCACAGGGATTTTTTTTTTTTTTATTTCTCATGATCACAAGAAAAAAATTATAACTATTTATAATTTTAATTTAAGGCTTTTAAAAGATTCTGTTTACAACAGTAAAATTTGCCTAAATGTCTAACAACATTTCAGTCTTTTACAGATAAATATTTCTTACATTTTTAAAATTGTATCTTCTGTAATGATGGAGAGAATAGGTGTTCATTGTTTTAACCATTGAGCTGAATCAATACTTTACTTATAGAGAAAGTTATAAATATTTCTTCGAATGGAAATCATGTTGAGAATTTCAAAATCCCTGAGCATTGAATTTATGAGAAAATCTGTTAAGATGGGTAAACAGTATTCTAATTGAAACTGAAATGAAATTGGTGAAAGTTTGAAAGCAGAATTATTGCCCCTTGGTCAACTAACCACTTTAATCTTTCTTTCTTATTAATTCCAACTGAAGGCAATTCACGATTCTTGATTAACAAAGCCGGATATGTGAGGCTTTGAGCTGGGTTAATATATGTGTCTACATATGGTGTGTGTGTGTGTGCGTCTGTATACACACAGGCACATACCGAGGGGAAAATGTTCTCAGCCTGACCCATTCTACAAAATCAAATCAAATTACGAAACATCAGATTTTTGGGGAGATGAAATTCTTGGTTGGGCCAAGAATTTTTCAGCACTACCTTATATGTATGTATGAATGTAAAATATATAATAAAAATAATTATATTTTTGTTCCTAGCTGCTCAATGCTACTTTCATGCATATATTACAGTGTGTTATTTTATGTGTGTATGTGTCCCTCTCTGTGTGTGTGTGTGTGTGTCAGTGGGTATATATATATATATATATATATATATATATATATATATACACACACACACACACACACATATATATATATATATATATATATATATATTAGTGTTTTTCCATAAAAGCTGTCTGCATGCAATCTGTGGAGTTAACCTTCAAGGTAGGACATCTAACGTAGACCTGTTTAACAGGTACAATATTGGAGGAATTGAGACTTTTCTCATACAGTCTCAGTTACGATGGACTGGTCATGTCTTGAGAATGTCTGATGACAGGATACTCAAGATCCTAATGTACAGCCAGTTAGATCAGGGCTACAGGAATGTAGGACGCCCATGGCTAAGATACAAAGACAAGCTGAAAAGCAACTTGTCAGCAGTCAATATACCACATAACACCCTTGAGCGCTTAGCCTTGGAGCGGGTAGAATGGAGATCAACGTGTTTTAGTGGACTCAGCAGTTTTCAATCTGCTTGTCTGAATCATCTTCAAGAAGTGAGAGCAAGAACTAAAAGGTCAGCCAATCTAACAGTGATCTCATCCCACAATCCTCACTCTTGCTCCATATGTGGCCTCCTTTGTAAATCACTACCGGGTCTTAAATGCCACTTAAGATTATCACTCAAAATTTCATAACTGAATCAATAAGCTGTCAGATCCTCATACGTCGAAACCGAGGGGAGAGTCCATTATTATTATATTAGTGAATATGCATAATATCTAATGTCAATAGCATGACTCAGAGTTTCATGCTGTGTATATCTGTTTATATTGTGCCATCAATGTTAGATATTATGTATATTCACTAATATATATTTATAGCTCTGTTTCATAGCACTGAGCACTGTATTTATAACCCCTGAGGAAGAAATATATTTATACGTATGTGCAAGTATCTGCATGTGTATCTAGATTTTTTAATCTAACCCATTCCTATATACATATGTTTCATTAAAAATATCTGACAAGGTACTGCGATTAAGGTTTTTATTTAATTATTGTTGTGTTTATACAAGTGCTTTCTTTTCTGGAGGCAAAGTGTATAAAAACTTTCCAAAAGTTCTGCATATCTGAGCACTTTCAGTTATTTTTTTAGCCATTATTAAGGATGATTTTTATTTTTACTGAATGTTTGTGTTTTTTTTTTAAGTATGTAACTAAACATTTAAACACATAGAAACTTATCAAGCTTCATCCATGACATACTAGTTGAAAATACAAGTATAATCACCTCATATACATGTAAAAAAAGATTGAAAATAATAGAAGCAGTAATAATAAAAAGAAAAAGCAACACTCAATAACATTAACTATGAACATGACCACAATGTACTGCTGACTGTATTTGGAAAATAAAACATTCTTATAACTTTAGACACATGCAAAAAAATCCCCCACATTTTTTTCTATTTGTTCTTTATCTTCAATTCACTTGAAGCAATTTTTAATCATTGATATGAAAAAGCAGTCATATGACAGTTGGGTGACAGTTTAGACATTTATAAATGAGTTTGGGCACCACGCATAACATCCATGAAAAGCAAAAAATAATAAAATCAGTAAAACTACTAATAAAAGTAATAATGAAGAATGAATTGATTTAGAGATGCGTGAGCAAAAGAAAAACTACTATGAATCACTGTGATCTGACTGCGTGGAAAAGAGGGGGACATGTCATGTGCTACCTGTTCAGGTCAGGTGTTGTGGATTCCTTGGATGGTCAATCAATTCCTTCCTTTTGAAGGTGGGAATCACTGGCCGGAGCCTGAAGCGTGTGTGTAAAAACTTTCCAAAAGTTCTGCATATCTGAGGACTTTCAGCTATTTTTTTTTATCCATTATTAAGGACGATTTTTTTTTTTTTGCTGAATCCAGGGGTGGCAGTACCACCATAGCCACTGAAACTGTGTTACCTTCCCTGCTCAACAGACATCGAGTTAGATCTGGTCAAGATCCAAAATAAACAAAGTTAATTAAAACCATACTTGCAACACAATACTACTTCAACATGAAACATGTTTACTTTCCATTCTACATCATTGATAATGCTTGCTATAAGTGTATGTGTATTGGTTAACTAACAAATGCAAATGCTTTTAACACAATGTTGAGAATCTGACTTGCAGTTACAAAACAAAATTACAAGAGATTAACGCCTCTACACAAAAAACAATATCCTGTCTGGTGATAAAAGCTGCTTGTAGCACCAGGGGTAGCAGTACCACCTTAGCCACTGAAACTGTGTTACCTTCCCTGGTTAGCAGCTGACAAGGGCAGGGGATTGCACATGCTTTTACACATTGTATGTAGGAAAAAAATGTGAGAAAAAGCAACAGCAAGATAGAGTAAATGGTAATGGTGAGAATAACCGTTTCCATACAGAAAACAATTGACATTCATTTACTGAACAATTACTATCAGTTGAAATTTATAAAATCTTTTTCTTCAAACAGTTATTCAAGGAAATAGTCTTCTCAAGTACACTGTTATAACTTTTTCTAGTACTGATGGAAGTTTCCTTGCTAACCTTTTGTTTAAGATAGTGTGGACGGTCAACACCTTGATTATATTATTTTCCCTTCTAGTTACATGTTCCATCTATTTTACTTGTTACCACTGTTGGATGTTTTCAAGTGATGTCCTTTTTGTTATTTAATGAAGTTCTGTGTGATTCTGTAGCACCAGTCTTTAAGATCTGATGAAAATAATAATAATAATGAAACATGTAATTCAGAGTGTGACAAAAAATAACAATGAGATGGAGTAAAATTTGTAACAAAATAATTGTGAAAATGTTTTATCTAAAATTAAAACCAAAAAAATTAAAATAAGAATTTGGGCTTAGCAAATTGGAGGTTTCAGATTTAAAATAAAAAATCAAAACCATATCAGAAATTAGATCTAACAAAAATTTCCAGAAATACTCAGAAAACACAGGTTTTGTTACCAAAATCTCCAGAATTCCATCCATCTTTGAATTTGACTGAAATTTGATCAAAATTATAAGAAGGCACTTGGGAACACTTGGAATTCCTGCTACTATTGAATTATGCATTCCAGTGGCAACAGACTCTGTTCTACATGCTGGACAGACATGAATATTCAGTAAGATTTATCAGTGTAAGAGCTGACTTGTGCTAATACAGATTTATTTTTTTTTAAGTTCATGAAGGATTTGATAAATATATATCTGTCATATTTTATTAAACAGTTTTATTCACATGCGTATTCCTATCTTCAAAACAGAAGCTGTGTTGTGCTAGACAATTTTTCTTGCCAGAATCTATCTTGTATATTTAGTCTACCATTCGGCTATGCTTTGAATATTGCTGTCACAAATGGTCCAGTTCGCCTGCTATATATTTAGAAATTCCTGATAAAATTCAAACAAGATTCAGCAATATTATTGGTCCCAATCTGGAATCTTGGCTTCAGTCATTTTCCCATTGCAATAATGTAGCTTCCCTGTGCCTTTTCTATATCTATCTATCTATCTATCTATCTATCTATATATATATATATATATATATCTTTATGAACTTAAGTGCAGTACTAAATTGGCAACAAAGTCTTGTTGATTTAAAGTTGAATTAGCTAAATCTAAATGCAAGTTCTATGCTAACATTTTCTTATCTCTTATCTCTCGCTTGTGGAATTCTCTCCTGGCTCCAGTTTATATATTAAAACACTGTTTCTCATCCAATCACAGCAGTTAAACAACGTAAAGCCTGGTCAGTACTTAGATGGGTGACCACTTGGGAATACCATATATTTTAAGCTTGAATGTGCATATGGTGTAGTGGATAATGAATCTGAATAAGAAATTGGAGGTGAGTTCAGATTCCAGTCAGCTCCATTGCATTCACTCACATGCAAATGGCCTTGGGAAAAATATCAATCCACCGTTTCTCTCCTCAGTTATGGGTTAAATAGTTGGATTTGTATCTGAAAACTATTGTTATCTCAAAAATTTTTAATACAATATTCACTCACAAACAAAAACAAAACATTCTTATAATCCAAAAATGTTTCGGCTTTAAATAATCAACAAAAGGTTGATAAGCCATAAAAAACAAATCGATCAATTGGGCCCAATGCCTATTGGTATTAAACATAATTTGGATAATCACGCTCCAGTGAGATTAGAAAAGTTATCATTATTTACACTATTTATATTCAGACTATTGTCCTCATCTTTGTTGTTTTTATCACCTGGTTGCCATCTGTCTGAATTTCTGAGATGAGGAATTATCATTATTTACACTATTTATATTGGATTATTGTCTGCATCTTTGTTGAAGAGGACAATAGTCTGAATATATAAAGTGTAAATAACATTGTATTGTTGCATTTACTTACATGCAAAAGCCCTTGAGAAAGGTATAAATCCACTGCTTCTCTCTCCAGGTATGGGTTAAATAGTTGTGGGTATTGACATGTAAATTCGAGTCATGAATTGTTTACCTGAATGAATGAAATTATCCTCTTCTGATTTAAACATGAATTTAATGTTAGAATGAATTCATGATATGAGCAGTTGCAAAATTTATGCATTCAGACTCGTTTTGTGGGTGTGTGGAATTCAAATTAGTTTTTATTCGTTATTTGTCTATTTGCTGTTTATTGTACAAAGCAACTGGTTTTATGAGTGCTGTGAACTTGTTAAAGCTGCTTGCTAATTATAGCCTTTTATCTGTTGCAAATATGTTTTTGTTTTTATATACAATATATCCACGAAAATGCTAAAAAGTCAGCATACCCTGATGAAAACATGCTTCAACCATACCATAATGAAAGCATAGTTTTATCATCAAAATTGTTATGTTATTATTAAGAAGAAGGATCAAAGTATTTTTTGATTATTTAATTAGATTGTAATTATATTTTCAGGACTTATTCACAAATGAATTAAATTATTTTTTTTATTTTTTTTTATTACAAAATCTTGGTAAAAATTTTTTTTTTACATGTGTTTCAGCCCCTTACTTAATTTTATGAAAACTTGAAAAATTCAACCTGATAATTTTTAGTGACTATATTAGTTAAAAGCAAAATTCTTTGAAGAATTTAAATCACCAAATTTTTTTTTTTTTGCAACCTTGCACCTGGTCTTACCGAAAATCTGTTCTGAATCAAAAAATAAAAAACACAATAAAACTCTAAGACATTATTTAATAAGAGAAGCTTTTCATTGCTTTTATGAATAATATATAATTAAAGACAATATTGTCTGAAGAAAAACAAATTTTCTACAATTTGTTTTCAGTTTTTTACAATTTTAAATTGAATAATTTATAAAGTTTTCAAAATTCATTTTCAATGTGATAATTCTTAGGAAATATTGTTAAGTAAAACTTTATTTACTAATCATCTGATGACCCTGAATATTTTTTAAAAGAATTTTGATTTGTTTTTGTATGCATGATTATGTGCAGAATTTCTGATGTATGGATGTACAAACTGATAAATCTAACATTTAAAGGTCATGTTTTTTATGAATTGTCCCCATTTACAGTGAAAAAAAAACTTTAACATCTGCTCCACCATACTTAACTATCAACACCTTCAGCTATAGATTGACTGTCAATAAATTGATTAATATGTCAAAAAAATAATACCCTATAGTTAAGAAATGTTTGTATACAACATTATATGTTATAAGTAATAGTTGTTTCAAATCAGATTAATTTAACTTTAAATTTGCTAATTTTCCTCAAATAATGTTTCAGAAATATACATTTTTGCAAGATTTTTAAAACCAAGAATTAATTTTTGTTTACAAAGAGGTCAAAATTTTTTATTGATTTTACTGAAAAAAAAAATTGATTTTGATCAATATAATTTCTATTTGAAATACACCACAGAGTATTTTTGCTTACTGGAAATAGTAAATTTGAAAAATCCTTATAATAATGAAATCTTCAAGAAAGCTTTTTCATTTTAAAAATTCATTTAAACCTTACATATACTGAATTAGTGCAGGTACCTAGATATAAGAGATTGCTGAAAAGTTCTTGATGTAACAAAGAAAGAGTTAAAACAAAACCTTGATGTTTTGTCATTAGGTCAGATTTTGGCAAGTGAATTCAGCCAATTAAGTTTTCCAAAACTCTTGCTTGTCTATCTCACTCTCTCTACAAATATATATGTATATCAAAGGACAATTCAAATTGTTACTCAAGTTTCACATTCTAGCAATCTTCACATGGCTAGAACAACTTTGTTAAGAGTTGATATTGTAAAGCATTTTCTGCATTATCTCTAGGT